ACGCTGAACCATCCACGCAACACATTCACACTCTGCAGCTTCACGCAGCGAGGCGGAGAATGAGGTTTATATAGCCAGTAATTTGACTAACCCCGCCCTCCAGAGCCGGCTCAAACCTGAGGGGCCCTAAGGTCCTTCAGGAGCCCACATGCAGCCTTTGCCAAGAATGAACCACATACAGTAGGCATAGTTATTTTTGCACAATATGCTCAACATGTGTCAGAGTTTATATATGAGCCACATGGAACAGACTGAATTCACTGTGGTAATGTGTTATTTATAAAGAGAGATTAAAAATAAGATGAGAGGAGGTTTGCCATATTGCTACACATTTAAGTCCATAATAATTTGTCCTATAATATAATTATTTCATCATAATAAAACAATCTAAAGTACATTTTTATTTCCTTTAGAGATTAGATGTTACAATATTATTAATGCATGTGGTATTTTATGATATAAAGCTGTGGCAATAAACATAAAGTCATTCAGACTGGAGGCAGGGGCGGAGCTAGATGGGGGGCCATGGCCACCCTTAGCCAATCATTGTCCACCCCTACTATTTTTTCCCTCTAATACAGATGGTGGCAGCAGTTATACTCTCAAGTGGAATATTAAAAACATTTTAATTTTACACATATTAACAATTACTTGACAACAAAACAATATGGTTAATTATGCACATCAATATAATAACATTAAAGACAATAAGTACAGAATTCATGCTCTTTTCAGAAGTAGATTTTGTGTTTTATGGGGTAAAGAGAAAATGATGTATCTCTACAGGTCATCTAAGAGTCTTCAGTAGAATTATTGGTAAATAACTATTTTAATAAAACGTATTAAATAATCAATTTATGTAGATATTAGTACTCATAAATATCAATTTTATGCAGAATGATTATTGATAAAATTAGGTAAGTAATGACAATGGAAGAGATGTTTGCCCCAGAACTGAACCTAAAAGAATTGTATCCCCTATACCTTTTATCTAGAAAACACAGATGTTTAAATATTTATGTGTATATTTGTCAGCAAAGGTTGTTGGAAAGTATAGTTTGTCTTTATTTAGGAAATATGGATGTTATGCCCATTAATTTTCCTAGATTGACCCCGAGGTTCTGGCGTCTATCTACTTTCGGCCACCCCTCAGTGTACATTGGTGATTGCCTGGCCACCCTTATAAAAATGTTCTGGCTACCACCAATCCAGCTCCAAAACGCATATATGCAATATTGAAAGATACTTTAATACCCTTAAATCTGTCATGGGTATATATAACCTTGGGCATAACCTTCACTTCAAACAATAAAGTAAGTTTGGGGAAATAAACTCAGTAAGAATTTAAGAACTCGTGACTCTTTTCAACAGTTTATAACTATAAGACCTAAAAAGTTTGAGATATCAATAACTGAACAGCAAATTAAATATTATTTTTTTATCATAAAATGTTTCCATGAGGTTTTAACTGTATTATGTTGAATGCAGAAGTTAAATTACAACCTAATGACACAGATAGTGTGAGGTCAGTGCATTTGATTTAGAACAGGCAAGTCTAGACTTGTCCTCATTGACATGCTACAAAGACCACCTGCATGTTAATTTTCAACATGTCATATAAACTGAAACCTTATACTGACTCGGACCCCTGACCTATTTTAAACTAGCAGAGCTTGTATAAGAGAAACAGCCTATCCACTAACTGATCTAAAGGGATTTCCCCCTCTGATTGGGTGTTTTCAAAAACTGTCATGAAGCTCAGGTGATCAAGTTTCTCCTCCTTCCTTATCAGGGAAAAGAAAAGCAAGAAAATTGAATTTAGAAGCAAAATGTTTGGATATTTGGTGCCCCCTGGTGGCCATGAGTGCATAACGAAATTAAAACACAACTGCAGAATCTCAAGTTTTTTAAATTTGGAATAGTCTGCATTTATCCTAACAACCTTTCCACAAGATGGACACATTTAAACAAAAGAAAAGTGAATACAAACCAATTAAAAAATAATAAATAGCCTACATAAATTAAATTCAACAGCAATAAAAAATATCTCATATCTAAAAGCAATAAAGTTGATTTTGTTTACATCATTTGTTATGCCTCAGGTCTTGTATCTAGACGAAATGGATTGTGTTTTAACACTTCCACATTTTTCATAGGGGTGTGAATATTCTATATATAGTGCCACCTACTGGCTGAGAGTTTTGTCTTCGAAGAAATTACAAATGGACTGAAATTTTCACAAAAATGTATGTGATGTTAGTGTTGGTACTGTAGCTTCACTTTTTATACTGTGCACCTCTAATAAACCTGCTGATTGTAAAATATTCTAATGTAATGTTTTGTGTTCAATGAATAATCTTCTTTTCATTGATTCCTTTTTAACATTTACAGTAAAATGTATGTATGCATTTGCATTTATTTTAATAGAATAAAGTCCTTTAGTTAAAAGCCCCAAATTAATTTCCACCATCAGCTTATTGGGTACAAACCCAAGCTTCTGTTCAGCTTTAAAAAAGTTAATAAAACTTCTGTAAGTGTGTCACAATATTTGCAACAAAACTTGTAGTTAAACAGATTAAATCAAGAGTTCATCCCATCCCTATTCAGATTTCATTGTGGGGGACACCAAATCCAACATTGCATCCCCTTATTCATCCATGTTGCTGTTTGAACATACCTTAATCACTTGTTATAAAAAGGCATTGATAACCCTATAATTTACATTTTCTATAAAACAGATGCAATTGAAGTAGGTTTTTAATTTAGCTTTGTAATTTATGCTTTTTTGCAGAAACTCGGGGTAGAAAGGTGGGATTCTAATGACCTCTTCAAGATAACCAAGAATACATACCTTTCTACCTGTGACCTTCCTGAAACTTTTAAACCAGCTACAAAACAATAATAATTTGCCAAAATATATAAATAAAGACAGAAACATTTTTTTGAAAGGTTTTGAACAGATTAAATCAGAACAAACCAGGCTGGTTATACATTTATTTTTTGCTCCACATATAATGAGGAGGATGCAAAGGTAGCAGTATTTGGATGATGGTTGTATATTGAAATATAAGTATTAATAATATTCTTCTAAGATATACAAATAGGAATATATATATATATATATATATATATATATATATATATATATATATATATATATATATATATATATATATATAT